TATTTGAAGAGACTATGATAAGTGGCCAATGAATGAGTTGATGCAATATCCATGAGCAAGAATATTAATATTTAAAGCCACATTTTTATTTTAACACTATTTTAAAATAACTTGATTCATGGGAAGAGATGGATTGGATGAATTTTTGTTATATTTAATATCAATAATTTATTTAAACAAAGTGAAAAGTAATTCAAGATAACCCATATAAATAGGTAGTTGTCCACTTGCTGAAGAAAGTACTATGTGGCAAAAACATTTGGTCCATGCATTATCATTTATTCCCAAGGTAGCAAAAATAGCAAATAGCTAATAAAAAATAGCAGGTAATCAGATGTCATAGAAGAAGCATGCAATTTATAGTATTTAGATCAAATGTCTTGTCCTGAGTTCAACTTTAGAATAATTTATCATTAGAGCAACTTGGTCCAATCTTACCAGAAGCAGTTCAATATTTCAACTTCACAATGTTTTATACCTATATCTCTAATGTGAAATCTGCTTCTCTGTGGCCTCACATATGGAAAGGGCTGTATTTGCCAAGACTATAAACAAATTGAAACATGTCTAAGTTTTGAGAAATTTTAGAATCATTGTATATAAATAATCCAAATGAATAATAAATTGATTTTGTAATTGGTATTATATTTAATATATTCTAAGATATACTGTTATATAAAACTATTCTGTAAATTATATTTATACAGCACATCACATAATTAATAGCAACAGGTTCAACAGGATTATTTCCTAAATTATAAACCAGTACAAATTATAGAAGATATACAATACTGCCTCACTATTAACAATATCCTCTTATAACAAAGGCCACAAGCTAAACTTAGTTGAACCTACTTCAACCAAGCAATGAGCTTGAATACTGTATACTACCTTTTCTTAGAAAAACAGTTTTTACATTAACTTTGAAGAAGTTTAATCAGTAGGCAGAACTAGATCGCACTATATTCTAGTAGAATAAACTTCCCAGTTTCTAAATTTAAAACATTCTGTGGGACCTAGAACTATAAGCACAGCTTTGTTGAAGCCTTTTTGATATATAGGTAGTCCTTGACTTACAACAACTGAGTCCAAAATTTCTGTTGCTAAATGAGACAGCTGTTAAGTGAATTTTGCCCCATTTTAAGAACTTCCTTACCACAGTTGTTAAGTGAATCACTGCAGTTGTTAAGCAAAGATGATAGATTTCTAGAATTTTTTTCTTTTTTCTTTCAAATGTCAGGAAAATATAGTAGGAAAATTAAAGTATAACAATACAATATGACCAGATAGGTTGCAGCAACTAGGTAATTCTGGATGACATTGAAAGACCACCAAATTAGGTTAGGAAGACTAATCAGCATCCTGGGAAAAGCCAATAACAAAACACTTTATACGAAAGTGTATAACTGCCAAGAAAATGACATAGATTTGTCCATGCAGTTACCCAGGATCAAGCTCAACTTGAATATTTATTTTTTAATATAGTAAGCTAAAGCAGAATAAAAATTTAAATGAATTAAATTCATTTTTAAAAGATGGGAGGAGAAACAAGAAAAACATGGAAACTATTCATGCAACATTCATATAGAGAAGTACTTATGAAAAGGTAGATCTTCATTAACGATCTTAAAGACACCACTATAAATGCCTCACTAATATCAGAATAGACTGCATTCCATGTGCTAAAAGTAAAAAGGCCCATCCAAAGTTTTGCCAGATGGAACTCTGTGGTTCTCTGCACATGAATGTTAGCCGTTTTCTTCTCAAACTAGAAGAATCAAAGACATTTCTCCTAAAGCATAAAAGAACCAAACTTCTCTTGGGTTTTAAAAGAAACATGCCATTTCAGTAAAGGTGAATAAAAAGAACAAAAATGCTTATTTCAGAATTACGCCTACACGTAATTCTACACGTACGCTTATAAGGGAGGCATCCTTTTTTGCTCATTACACTTTTCATTGTCTTTGTATATAAACAGGGAAAGCAGGACAATTAAAGCAAACAGTCTCAAAAGGAGTGGCATGTTATTCCTCCTCTTCAAACAATGGAAGGTAATGTGTTTACTTTTCCTAACCTGGCAAGCAATCATACATCTCAAATCAGGTAATTACTCCAAATACTTCTGATAGTCCAATCGTAACCAACCCCTCCCCCCCATCTGTAGACCTGGAAGAATGTTTTAGTGGTTCTGTTGAAGATACTAGTAGAGGAACGGAAGAACAAAGTCAAGGACCAATCATCAAGGAGAAAATCTATGTCGTCAGGAAGAGTTGACACTGACTTGATGGCACATACGGTAATCAATATGTTGCAGATATTGAAGGAAATTCAGTACTATAAAATTTAGAAATAATTCCTAGAAATACTCTTTTATGAGAGAGATTTTAAAAACCTCTATAAATTAGCGGTATTTTTGCTGTTTACATGTGCAACAGCTCATGTTACATCTGGACATTATTAACTTTTCAGAAATTTGGAAATATTATTATAAAACCTGCATTAACTGAAATATACTTCTCAATTTTTCTCTGTTCTATTATCTAGTTACGTCTTTGTACTGTATGTTTGCTAAATTTCAACCAATTCCCAGGAGAGGGGACAAAATTGCTCATAATTATTGCTGCACAGGTTGCTTATGTTCAAAAGTTATTACCATGATTGTTTAATAATCAAATCATTTCACCCCAAAACAATTTTGAAATCATTTTACTTAAGACTGTAGTTTTATTTCCAGTTGTTCTAAGCTTATTCCAAAAACTACTGATCAACAACTTGAACTAAATTTCAAACCACTAACTATACTGAGATAATATGTTCATTAAAATAATTGAAAGTTTACAAAGCAATTCTATGATCAAAGTTTCAAAAACTTTTAATTAGACAAGATGAACAAAAATTCAGAAAAAAGGGTGTGGCAAAGAAATATAGATCGTATTCAAGCCACATCTGTACCATTCTTACATAACATATCCGTAGATATGTACATTGGGCCTTTTCCAGGACAGAAAATTGGTTAAATTACAGAAAAATGTTCTCAAAGCATGCTGAAAAAAGCAAAGAAGAAAAACATAAAGACAGAATCCTTTGTATCATACTTTTGTACCTGTTAGAGTATGTCACAATAGAAAGATATTAGTTCAGTTTATCCTTTGAGATTCAAAACTGAAGCCAATCTAGACAGAGCTCTGTTGAAATAAAAGAAAGTTATTATCTATATTTCCACCATCCTTAATAGTTCCCTAGCCACTTTCTCTCTTTTTCATCAACAAGTTATCCAGAAACAATGCTTCCCCATAACATTACAAAATAAACAAGTCACAGCTTTCCTATTCCATCCATTCCATTTTCTCATACCATACAATATCCTAGCCTGGAATATCCTGCAGGAATGAAAAACAATTAGCTAGGTAAAATTAAAAGATGGGACATAATATTCATAGGTCTTCACTCTTCAAAGTATGAAGCTAACATCTTCATCAGGTTAAGCCCAACTCTTGGTGACTTCAGTCATCTCCATCTTACCTACCCTATATTCTCCATCTCACCTACCCTAAACCAGAATTATCACTTTAACCTTTAATGCAGAGATTGTGCATTCAATTCTGAGTGATCATTTCTCTTATGTACATGTCCTCCTATTGATTCAGATTTATGTTAGCATAATCTAATACCAAATGTGTCCTCCTAATATTCATTTTTAAATTTAATAAATTAAATTTACGATTTTACAAGTGCCACTACTTTGGAGAGAAGAACAAGGGGTTTTTTTTTTCTTTTGTCCTATCAAATGTTCAATAGAAAAATCCTGAATAAAGCTTGTTGTATAATGCCACCCTCTCAATATTTAGATTAACAGGACAAAAAGAAAAATCTTACAATCTTCATTTAAAAATATCATTATAAGAGTGCTATTGTGGGGTTTTAGATTTTTAAAGAGAATCACTGATGCATAATTATGAGGATGGTAGATATAGAATTGGAGAGGCCCAATTTAAAGCACACCTTCACCCAAAGCGTTCTGGATATATTTTCTCAGTCCAATTTACCTCATAGGGTTTCTGTTGTGAAAAAAACCAGGAGGAGAGAGAGCACTACCTACTGTACACTGTCTTCGGCTGCTGCAGACTAGATAGGATATAAGCCTCACAAATATTGTAATATTTTCCAAAACTGTTAGAATCATTATTATCATTTTTCAATAACTTAAATATGATTCATACCCTAGCTGCATTCATAAAATACTCCTGCCTTCCCTCTTAAACAATTTTTTTAATGGTGATCTTGCCCTGTGGTTTTTTTCCCCCCAAAACGAACCACAGCAGCTGTCTCCAATGTGTAAAAACAGAATTGACAGATCTCCCCCTTTCCCACTTTTAGCGGCTTCCCTAATAAATTATGATCCCGAGATTTTGTGGGCGAACTTCCAAAAAAGTGTAGCCGCTGTTCATTCTCACACTCGCCCCAGGGCGCACTTTGGGTGTTGAGCACGCACGCACACACACACAGACACACGGCAAGGTGTAAAAAAGGAGGGAGATTTCAACCAGCGCCAGCTCCAGGATGCAGCTTAACTAAAGGAAGTTTCCGATGGCGCAGGAGATTGATTCTTTCTTTCTTTCTTTCTTTTTCTTTCTTTCTTTCCTTCTTTCTCTTTCTTTCTCTTCCTCCATCTTTCTCTTTCTCTCTCTCTTTTTTCTTCCCCCTCTTTCTCTCCCTCCCTCCCTTTCTTTCTTTCTCTCACCCTCTCTTTCTTTCTTTCTCTCTTCGTCCCTTTTTTTCTTTCTTTCTATCTCTCCCTCCCTCCCTTTCTTTCTCTCTCTCTCTCTTCCTCCCTCTTTTTCTTTCTCTCTCCCTCCCTTTCTTTCTTTCTCTCGCCCTCTTTCTTTTTCTCTCTCTCTTCGTCCCTCTTTTTCTTTCTCTCTCTCTCTTCCTCCCTCCCTTTCTCTCTCTTTTTCTTTCTTTCTGTTTTTGCAACTGGCACTGAAGGCGCCGCTCCCAACCTCTGCGCGAAAGAAACGTCTCCGGGCCGTCGGCGCATCTCTACATCTCACTCCACCGACCGCTACGCAACTCGTCAAGAACTCGGCTCGAAAGTTTCGGGCTCGTCGCCCGTCCGTCCGCCCCCTCTCGCTAGACCGCGTCCCCTTCTTCCATCCCACGAAAAAGAGAGAAACGGATTTCCCCGAGGCCGAGCGGACAAGCGCCTTCCTAGCGGAACTGTTGCAGCCCCCACTCTTCTTCCTCTCCCTCAGCCCGACAGGCGGACTTTCGCGGAGGCGGAGGCGCCACCGATTCGAACGACATCACCGATCTGGCCCAGAGGACGAGGAGGCGACCGGCGGGTGGGGGGGAAAAAGCGGGTGGGGGGAGGCGGAGAGCAGAGCAAGAAGCAGCGCTGGCCACATGCCCCACCGAGCCGATCTAAGTCTGGGGCTGAAAATGAACAGGAGCCGCACCTCCCGGCAGAGGCAGTAACCGCTGCCCAGGGAGCAGAACCGACAGACCTCCACTCACCTCCAGCGCCCGAAGAAGGAAGGGGAAGCCCAACGCCTTCTGCGCTCCGCCTCTCCCGCTCGCTCGGTGCCCCGCTGCCTGCCTCACACGCCTCCCCCGCTCCGAGCCCCCAAGGGGGAGGAAAAGGCGCCTGACGCCGAGCCCCGCGCTCAGCCCGCCAACAGGCACAACTCGCTCCCGGCTACGCGCGCTGAGCGCTCCCTACCTGCCTTCCTCCGGCTCGTCCCCGCGCACCGTCTCCCTCAGTCTGACTCAAAATTGAAATTCCCTGGCCGGGGCCGTCAGCCCCACCCCAGTCCTAAACTGCCTCCGCCTGGAACCACGCCCCCTTGGCGCCTCTAAGCCAATCAAAGACCTGGGACAGCTCTCGACTCCACCTATGTCCTCTTGGGGGGGTTTTTTCCCTGGCCCGTCAATCACAAGCATGGCCAGTTGCCTCCCTCCCTCCTGCTTTTTCTAGCCACGCCCAGCAATCGCCAGACTTGAAGTTTGAAGAACTGCGCCTTCGGGCCCGCGGGGCGCGCGCTTCTCTTCGCGTTAAATGTTTTCTGCTCTGGGGACGAGAAATGCAAAGGGGGGGAGATAAGCTGCCCTAAGTGAATTGGCAATTTAAAATATTGCAGTGGTTCCTTTTTTCCCTGCCAAATCGTTTGTTTCAATTTTAGGCGGGAGACAAATCCGGGATGCAGCGCGATAACTGAGTTTTCTTTGGTCAGGAGCTTTTTAATGTCGCTTATGTCATCCATCGCGTCCCATGTGCATTGCCCTCGGGATGATTAAAAACGCAGCCGTGTGAGATACTTGCACCAAATGGGGACCAAGCAGAAATATTTGTTAGCTCGCTTAATATTTTTTTAGTTTTATTAGTTCCGGGGCGCCATCCCAATTGCTAGGATTCGAAATGATTCCCAAAATTCAATTAATTTTAATATAATAATGACCCACATTTTATAAGCTGCCCTTTCTGGGCTCTGGTATCTTGAAATCCAGGCAATAAATAAGATATCCTTTACTGACACTTTTTTTCACTGTGAACACACTGGTACACATCAAAAAATAATCAAAAGTGTTTTTCTGAATAAAAGGAAAGTTTGGACTTGCTATATTTCTAAGATAAAGGAGATGAGGCAGTGAGTCTTATTAAAAGGGCTTGTCAGTTTGAACTACACCAATCTCTGATGGGTGCAGGAGGACACAGGATTCTCCATGGGTCTTTTTTGATGGTCAAGGCAATTCTGGATATAACCTGGTGCCATGGTTTAGAAATAGCCACAACCAGCACATTTGAATTGTATGTGGAGTATTGGTAATCTGTAGATCTAAGAATAAATATAATTCTACAATAGCAAATTTCCCTAGCTCCAAATTTTGGATCAGTTGTTTCCATTTTGAATTCAACGATAGCCCTATGTAGAATAGGGTGAAATAGTCCAGTTCTGTGGGGATCAGAGCATGTCCCTTGAACATCTTGGTCCAAAACAGGCCAATTGGAGCTGAGCAAAGGTACCATGGCTTGCACCAATCAGTCGCCGATGCTCAAGTCACAGACAAGCATTGGGGGGAAAGGGGGGGAATGCAACCCTATCATACTGCTGGAGTCATAATTCTTTCTTGGTAGAAATTATTTGAACTCATTTCTCCTCACACAGGTTCCTTTCACTTCTGGACACCAATTTGGACTTCCATAGCATCCACAGATTGTCTAGGATGGCAATAAACAAGTTGACAATTAACAGTTAACAGATAAACAGATCTGTTAACTGATATACCTCACCTCTGATTGACAAGTTAGTATCAAATAGATGTTAAGTAACAAAGGACCTAGAGCCAGGGTCTGAATCACCCCCCTCTGGAATGGCTGAAGCTCAACTTCCCAACTTCTACAACAATTTCATCCCGTGCCCTGCTCCCTTCGTATTCCAAAAGTCTACCAAATGTGGACAGAGGTGCCTGCCAAATTGTTGGGAAAATCCCCAAGTCCATCTGGATTGATCTTATTTATTTATTCATTCATTCATTCATTCATTCATTCATTCATTCATTCCATTTAACTTTAAAATTATTTATATCATATATATTAAAAAAAATAATTCACTGTTCACTGTTCCCCCATAGCATTTACATCTATGCTCTTTTGCAAAATCTTTGAATACTGGCCCAATAGTCAACAATTATTTTCTGCTTAGTATAAATGTGTAAGTATATAGATACACATGGATAGCTATTTGCTTTTCACATAACTAAAGGATTAAAATAATAAATCATGTATCAATCACCCAAAATGATGAAATAAATTGATGTGAAGTTGGGAGAATAAAACAAATTCAATTACATAGTTTAACTTTACCACCTAAAATTATGAACTCCCCTTTTGATATTACAAAACTCTTAAGTCCTAGCACCATGGTCATGGATGTGGGATAATGATTCATGCAGTCCAACATCTGGCAGGTTAAGCTTGCCTGTGGCCTTAAAGAAATCAACACAATCCATTTATATTGTTTGTTTGTTTGTTTGTTTGTTTGTTTTATTAAATTTGTATACCACCCTTCTCCCAAAGGACTCAGGGCGGTGAACAGCCAAAATTAAAATACATACAGTAGAAAAATTAAAATAAATTAAAACAGAATTAAATCAGTTTGGCTTCCCTAAATTTTTTAAAACCCTTTACCCATAAAATAGCCCATTAAAATTTTAAGCCAGCCTGGATTGCTGGAATAAGAAGGTCTTCAATGCTCGATGGAAAGTACGGAGATCCGGGATCAGTCATATTCCTGGGGGTAGCTCATTCCAGAGGGCGGGTGCCCCCACAGAGAAGGCTCTCCCCCTGGGGTTCGTCAGTCGACATTGCTTGACCGACGGCACCCTGAGGAGACCCTCTCTGTGTGAGCGGATTGGCCGGTGGGATGTTATCGGTGGCAGAAGGTAGTCTTGTAAGTATCCGGGCCCTAAGCCATGGAGCGCTTTAAAGATGAAAACCAATACCTTGAAGCGCACCCGGAAGACCACCGGGAGCCAGTGCAGCTTGCACAGGAGAGGTGTTACATGGGAGCACCATGTCGCCCCCATAATTACCCGCGCGGCTGCATTCTGGACCAGCTGGAGCCTCCGGTGCTCCTCAAGGGGAGCCCCATGTAGAGAGCATTGCAGTAGTCCAGGCGAGAGGTGACGAGGGCATGAGTGACCATGCATAAGGAGTCCCGATCCAGAAAGGGACACAACTGGCGTATCAGGCGAACCTGATAAAAAGTCCCCCTGGCCACGGCCGTCATATGCTCTTCTAAAGACAGCAGTGCATCCAGGAGGACGCCCAAGTTACTAGCCCTCTCCGTGGGGGCCAATGACTCGCTCCCAATAGCCAGCGATGGCACCAGCTGGCTATATCAGGACGCCGGCAGCCACAGCCACTCAGTCTTGGAGGGGTTGAGTCGGAGCCTGTTCCTCCCCATCCAGACCCGCATGGCCTCCAGGCACCGGGACATCACTTCAAGGGCATCGCACCCCAAATCCACGGATGATCTCACCCAGCGGCTTCACATAAATGTTGAACAGGAGAGGTGAGAGGACCGACCCTTGCGGCACCCCACAAACAAGGTGCTTCAAGGTCGACCTCTGCCCCCCAGCCAACAGGGACTGCGACCAGTCGGAGAGATAGGAGGAGAACCACCGTAAAACGGTGCCTCCCATTCCCAACCCCTCCAGCCGGTGCAGCATGATACCATGGTCGATGGTATCAAAAGCCGCTGAGAGATCTAATAAGACCAGAACAGAGGAACATCCCCTGTCCCGAGCCCTCCAGAGATCATCAACCAACGCGACCAATGCCGTTTCCATGCTGTACCCAGGCCTGAAGCTGGACTGAAACGGATCCAGATAGACAGTTTCATCCAGGTACTGTGGGAGCTGTCGCGCAACCACACTCTCAACAACCTTCACCACAATGCGAAGGTTGGAGACAGGACGGTAATTTGCCAAAACAGCCAGATCCAGAGAAGGCTTCTTGAGGAGAGGCCTCACCACCGCCTCTTTCAAGGTGGGAGGTAAGAAACCCTCACTCAGAGAAGCGTTTATAATCCTCTGGAGCCAGCCTCATGTAACCTCCCAGGTAGCCAGCACCAGCCAGGAGGGACACGGGTCCAATAAACATGTGGTTACGTTCAACCTCCCCAGCATCCTGTCCACGTCCTCGGGAGTCACAGGATCAAACTCCACCCAGATAATATTCTCAAGACCCGCCTCGGACACCTCGCCTGAACCCACCCAGTCAGAGTCCAGGCCGTCCTGAGCGATTTTATCATGCAGATAATGCGCAAAATCCTCAGCACGCCCTTGCAAGGGGTCTTCCCACGCTCCCAGATGGAGAAGGGAGCGGGTCACCCTAAACAGGGCAGCTGGGCGATTATCTGCTGACGCGATAAGAGCGGAAAAGTAATTACACTTTGCCGCTTTTATCGCCACTAAGTAGGTCTTGATATAAGACCTCACTAGTGCTCGGTCAGATCCTGAATGACTAGCCCTCCAACTACTCTCTAGGTATCTTTTCCGGCGCTTCATCTCCCTCAGCATCTCAGAGAACCAAGGAGCTGGGCTGATTCGGCGCCA